GAGTGTATATCCAAGATTCTCAGATTTTTCTTTAAGAATTAAGACACACATCTTGTTCATAAAGCTCCCACGCTTAAGTTCAATCGAACGTCCAAAGCCGAAATTCGTTTCGTATCGCGTTCTAGGGTGCTTAGCGGACAATTTGAATGTATAATATCCTTCCATATGATCCAACACGTTCAATATTCGCGGTGCAAACTTAATATCGACCGAGTTAGCCTTGGCACATCCATCGTCCGGTTTAATAGAATACCAGATGGTACTGTAAAGATGGTCAACCGTAGCGAAGATCACGTTTCCACCTTTCGTATAGCAAACCTCTGCACTCGAACGTTATTAATAAACCTTGTCTCCATGTAGCGTTAACCAAACTGACGTGAGATATTAATTGCCAAGCGTCATCAGTCAAAGCTAACGAAATTAGTAGGGAGGCAGTACATGCACCAAGAGGGGTTGTAAGGGAAACCAATGATTTTCTAATGGGACAGACGCGTTGAAACGCAGCCACAATTAGAGGGAACCACGCGTTTTAGAGGCTGATTTGGATCGGTTCTTGGCATCGGTTAATTATAACGTTTACCTAACATGGTCCAACGAATAGTTCCACTTTGAATAAGGAGGGAAAAGAGAAAGTGGGAGGGAGTGGATTGCAGATTAAGAGTTGTTGCAATTACCCTGGCTCGAGGTAAACAGGCTTTGTGGCGGTCGAGAGTTGCGTAAACTTCGTTTGAAACGATTCCGCTGCGGAGTTTTCTCGGTGACTTTACTTTAATTTCGTTCATCGTCTACACGGTCAAAGTGCCGCGAGCTCTAGCGCTCATCGAAAGAATAAAGCTTGAACGTATCCAGTTCTCATTCCTTACTCTGTAAAGGAGACTGGGAAAGAATTCGAGGCAATATTCCTCGCTGTGTATATACGGTATGCAATGGGAACCTGTCGTTTCTGCTTTATGTCGGGCGCGGAACGGGGGTGTCGCTAACCTTTAAATACTTTAAGCGCGTAGTTTCGAGCCGAGGTTGAATTTTCGAAATCGCGTCACGCGCCAACGTAGGAATTAAGCGAATGCTGTGTAAAAAAAAATGGAGCTATAAAACTACGCGGTAGGGAACTACTGCGTTGGTGTATAAAAGGCTCGTAAAAGGTTGGCGCTACATGGAACGTTATAAAAAATAAAAAAAAAAAATAGGAAAAGTGGGAGAGAGGGAAGAGAAACACACAGGGAAAACAGTTAAGCGAGAATCGTCTTGGAAACGATCTACTCCCGAAGTAAATTGGCTCCCGACCTGTGTTACGTATTACGCGACATATGTCACCCTTATCTTCAGCTGGCCGCAGCCCCGACGATTTCTCTCGTTTATCCCTGGCAGAGCTGATCACTTCAGCATGAGGGATTCACTGGGCCACGGTGTAGTTTCTCGAACGCTTACCGGCGAAAAATCGTTCGCAGGACGAACAGTACGTGGAGTGGATATCTCGGGGACACTATGCGGCCGCTTTATCAACACCTGAACGAGGTCAAGTCCCACGCGAAGCCGGGATTCTATCCGAAAGATGCGAGGAAGAAGGACCCCATGGCGAGCTCGCACAATTTGGAACTGCTCGACAGGTGAATCGCAACATTTAATCATTCTTTTCATTAAATAATACCAAAGAACAGTTTTCAAAATTTCACATTGATTTAGAAAAATTCTAGAACTTTTTTTTAGGGTTATATCTACTTTAGAGTATGCAAAAAATTGGTTTATCAAAGGCGACAGAAAGTTTGAACACTTTACCAACCACGATCCGTGATCTCCATGATCTTTTATTGCAACACATTGAAATTTTATCCACATAGACGATATTATGTTACATGCTTTTTGATCTACTACCAATCGATAAGCGCTGGAATCAAAAATGCGGAAGAGAAGTCTATTAATAAGTTTTGCGTCAGTAAAGTGGTGAGAATATTCTGTCTAAACGTTTAATGAATCCTTCGACTGGTTCTTGAGATACGACGACTCAATTCATCGGTTTTCTTTAGACTCATACAAGTCTATTATCGTTCAGAGTATATCACGCAGAATATATAAACAATCCACTTTTCACCTCTTTAGATAAATATAAATCCTTAATTTAGAAGTTCTTACTGGGAGCTGCTTTCTCTATTAACGTCAATTCTTAGCGCTTACCCACGAGAAGCTGGAGATCTTCTGACCAAAACGATCCTATTCTACTTGCCGTCGCCCTTGCCCGACAGCATTTTACGTGTCTGGCCGTGTCTTTGTGCAACTAATTGAAATCCCCCCCTCTACCCCCCTACCATTCCGCTAAACTGAAAGTTCGAAAAAATAAAAAGTTATACAGCCTGTAAAAGTTTTACACGCTCGTTCGTTCTCGATCACTGTTCCCCTTGCCCTCCTGCGCTATAGAGACTCTGTCCTTCGTTTCCTTCGTGTTCAACGTTTCCACACCGGTTCCATTTAGCCCGTCTCGGTGAACACGTCGATGAAATATTCTAGCAGCCGCTCAGAATCCCAGGTCCACGACGAAGAAAGTTGCTCTTCTCCGGTTGAAGAAGAAAGCGTAACGGGTTACTTATTATCCCGTCTATTCCTTCTAGGAACTGTTTACCGTGCAATGCGTGCGCGCCCATTTCCCTGGGTGCCGGAGGAAAGTCAGATTGTCCAGGCGTCGCAGCCCTTACCGATGAAAACGTGGAAAAATCGAGAGTAAACATCATTATCGACCGATCCAATTTTAACATGCAACGCGAACGACCGAGTTATCTTTATCGGGGACGTTTCCGTGAATCGACTCCCTTTTCGCCGAGCTTTCGGAAGCGTTTTCTGGTTTGTTGTTCCCGTACCTGGCCACGGTGGGTCGTGTATCAAATAGTGACGCAAAAATCGCACGCGCTTTTTCTCTTTTTTTCGTTGTTTCATTTTTCTAACTCGCTCGAAACATACACTAGTGCACGCGTGTGTACACGTACGCTGAAATTGGAAATTTCGCGTTTGCCTTTGAACCTAATAATCTTGTTACCACATTGTATCGAACCTTCGGGGGGTTGAAATTTAAAAATTTAATTTCTCCGTAGGAGAGGAACGAACGGTTTCGCTCGCTCGCGTGTTTCACGCTCGCGAAATGGAATAAGCGAAAATTTGCAATCGTACGGGTGTCTGGTCGAAATTCGTTTGAAAGCGAATCAATGGAAACGCGTGACTAAATTAACTACGAGATCGACGAATGTGTGGAACAAATGAATTTATACGAACGGCTCAATGGATAGATAACGACGATTTCTTTACGAACAGGTTGTACAGGGAACGTTACTCGAGAGTGTTGCGTAAACGGACATCCGTGGATCCGAAGAAGACCACTTGCATGTTGTACCTGCAAGCGGATCATATGTTCTTCAATTATTATAAGTCCGAGGAGGCCTGTATAGAAGTAATGACTCGTCATGTACAACGTGTCAATTCCATCTACAAGTATACAGGTGAGTTTATTCGTTTACTCATGATCGATACCTGTTTCTTTTCTCATATTTGTACACTTGTATAACTTATAATAGTATACTTCAGAATTGCAAATTTTTGTTTTTAAAACACGTCCAAAGTGCTCTTCAAAGAGAAATAGAATATTGAAGATTGTACCTAAGGTTCATAAACGTTGCTGTCATTAAATATAATATATTTTATTGATATTTATCATTTATTAATAATGACTCCACATAATATATCATGCCAGTACCAATAAAAAAAAAAAGAAAAAAACAGGAAGCGATATAACAACCAAGGTGTGCAATGAAAATTCTTTCGTCCTGATGGCGTAACAATCGGCAACGTTTCCTCCCCGTCCGCGAACTAACAAGTGCGCGTCTTCTGTCTCATTCCGCTGTAATAACTTCGCAAACCAATTAAAACTTTCCCCCGGACCTTCCAGTTAAACTAACTTTCTGCCAGCGGCGATCAAGGAGAAGGAGAGGAAAGAGGAGGGGGGCAGAGAATGAATGTTCCTTAGCCTTACTTGTGGTTCCTTTCTGCGCTCGCGACCGATTAATGTCAGTTTCTGTGTCTGACGTTGACCGATTGATTTCGCGGAACTTTATTGCGCCAGAACACACACCTAATGCGTAAACTTTAAACGATGGTTATCAAGGAAGAATAGGGGGAAAAGAATCGAAATTGCCTCCGTTGTATTCTTTCTTTCACTCGCGAATAAAGTGGTGTGCCCACTTTTCCTTCGACGTTCTTTCTTCAACCGAAAAAGTTTCAATCCTGGAAACCTTCTGGTCGTAGAAATTATTCTTTGAAAATTCCGTGTGACAATAGTTCGAGACTAGCAACGATAAAATCTACGGTTTGTAGACTGTTGGTGTAATGTCTTCGTATCAATGAAAATATCAACTAACGCGTCGGTCATATTCTTACTATTTTCCATTCGGCAACATTCATTTCCCCGCAATTTTATTCCCTTTTCCAAGTCCATTTACCCGGCCGTCATTCCCCGTAATTCCAGTCCGCAATTCTGCAACCATCCTTGAAACTAGCCGGGCGCAAATTATACCATCCGCCATTTGATACAATTACGTCATCAGTGCAGAGACTCAACTGAGAAACAATCAGCCTCATCGATGCTTCCTCCCTCCTTGTACCCTGTGGAAGCCGAAAGGTAGAAGGGGTAGGTGAACAAAGCTGCGCAAATCAGAGGAAAGCGTTCCTGAAAATCTCATTTGGCCGGCGCGGGCCGCGAATATTAAGTGAGAGGGCGTACTCTCGAGCCACGATTCTCTCTCTACTAGCGGCCAGCAGAGGAGAAGGTGAAGAGGGGTTCTAAACGGCGCACCACCTGCCGTAACAACGAGCAAATATTTGTGTCTCGTGACTGAGCCGTGTTCAGCGTAGCGTGACCGCGCGTGGACCGAGGGCTGTGCATTACTTAGAATTCCCTATCGCTTCCGTCGTGCAATTCGCGTATAAAGCCCCTGCTTTTCCGCCGACGTTTCCGTCTCTCTCTTTCTCCTTCTATCTCTCTCTGGTCGATGGAATACACACATTGGTAGGTAGGATACGTCGAGCTTTCGAGACGATGGTCGCGCCGATTATCGAGGATCTCTACACGCGAGCATTTCGGATGACCGATCGACCATCCCTAGGAAATGCCTGGCCGAACGTGCCTCCCTTTGTCTCCGGATTAGACGGCATTAACTCTGTTCCCATCGCGATATGTACAGCCAGCCCCGTCCGCCTAGCTAAACGCTCTTGTCTGACGAGAGATCCGGAATTGCCGCGATTAAGGATTGCTGCCCCCATGCCTTCTCTCTCTCTCTCTCTCTCTCTCTCTCTCTCTCTCTCTCTCTCTCTCTCCCCTTGCATTGCAAACTCGTGTCCCAACGATTACTTCCTCGGCGATTTTGCGTTCACGCGGTTAACTGCACTCCGGCTTGGATCTATTGTCTCCACACTAACCTGACTATCTTGTTTAAATTTAAATATATAAGGGTACAATGAACTTAATGTAAACGCGGTGGAACGATAATACTTGTGCTTTGATCGACGTTCTTCTTATTACGTCAGAAGAGGAGGGTGGAAAAAAGTAATGGACGATAACGCGATATCGCAAAGGTGGAAGTTCCAACGTTAGTCATTACACGTGGAACGCCGTACACCGTTTACGATCCTTATCTCGGGGCTCACGTAAAAAAAAAAAGTTTATTTCCTGAACGGCACACGGCCGAGACAGCTGTCACGCGACCATGTTGCCCCTCTATTTGTTTGCGGAGTAATTTTTTACGACATCGGTACGCGCGAGGACCGACAACGCAGTCAGGGGAACTTTGAAAACACGAATTTCACGTGACGATAGCCCTTTAGTGATTTAATAATAAGCACAGACCGTGCTCGGCGATCTCTTCTACACTGTATATTTCTTAGAAAAAGTTTTTTCGTAACAGCAGAGAAACTTTACTGAAGTTTCCTTTCCGTCTGACCAGTAACTTATGTATTCTACTTGTTCCAATTTCTTGAAAACCGATTGTCCTATCTCGCGTGTCTGATCAGAAACGGGGCTTATTCAATTTGATCCGCAAAAAGTGGTTCTGGCTCGGTTTATTCTACTTGTCTGACCGTGAATGCTTTTCCTTGAGTTCTCTACTTATTCTATTAAGTCTTGTGCAAAGTTTCTGTGGTATTTAAACGTGGAATTTTACCTCATTCCGTGAACAAAATGTAATTCTCTCACCGTGTCATAGTTTCTTTTTACTTTTCATAGCTTCTTGATTCTTTCTTCTTAGTAAATCGACCTCGTTCTTGTGAAACAGTCGAAATTTTGTATTCATACACGCGAATATGAAGCCTCGAGTGTCATAGAAGCTCGTTCAAAGGCTCACGCATAGAGCCACGGCGTGCCATAAATGTTTCAGCCGAGCTACCTTGAACTTCCTACGTTCACTCATGCCTGACCGTTTCAGCAAGCGTTCCGTTGCATTATTTAGCCGCCCAAGAAGCACTCCGCTCCTCTATCTCTCCCTCCCCTCCCCCAACTCTACGATTGGGGAAGTTGAACGCGATGTTTTCGCCGGTACCAGTCGCTACGTAGCAACCAAGCCGTACGTAGAACCAAAGCTGATTAATGCAACATCAAACTTGGGTACAATGGACTTAGCGCTAATTACCGACGGCACATGTATATTACATGCGAGATATGGATGTAACGATGCTAGTACGGGTGTTTATGTTTGGCTAGGTTGGCCGCGTGTGTGTATACGTATAACGTGGAAACGCAGTCGTGGGACCATCTCACTTAAGGAAATAGGTTACCACTTACGTTATCACTTAAATAAGTCAAATTCGAAGAACGGTCCCTTCTAATTAATGCATCTGCTTTTGAATGAAATTCATTCGTTTGTCTATCCACCTATTCTTTTTCTTTCCCAATTTCTATCGTGGATAATTTAGTTGAGAAATTTGTTCCGTAATGATTTCAACTTCGCCAAAAGTTACACACTTTGAAGTGCTTTTGGCACATTGCTATATACACTGAACTCTCGGTTTCGCTAACAAGAAGAAACTTCTGCGTATTAACGCGTTTCATCTTAGGCAATCTGTGTTGCATGAAACACGAAAGAATAAACGTCGCGAAATTTAAAACTTCCACTTTCTATACTTTAGAACCTTTGAAACCCATCTCCCTTAGGCTTAAGATTTTAAAAATGTTCCTTGGAGGTAGGAATAAGTCTATATTTTAGAACCATAGGATCCCTTCTTCCTTAGACTTAGAATTTAAAAAATATTGTTTGGAAGTAGGGGTAAGTCTATATTTTACTATTGCTTAATAACGCGAGTGCAATGAAAAGGGAAGATCCAACGTCGATACCTTTCACGCTTGAAAAGTCATCACGAGATCATTGCGGCGATTCGCATAAATTCACCGGTAGAAAGGAATTGCGATCGCGTGTCGCTGGGCCGTTTTTCCAGTTTCGATTGGTATTCCCGCGGAAAAGGTGTTTGATTAAATGCTCGCCGCCACGCGACGCTCGAACCGTTCGGGAATACGGTGATCACCGGTGGAACCCGAAAATTACTCGGCTGGAGCCCCAGTGATTTTCGTTATCAGCTATCGGTTTCCTCGACGAGTAGTTCCTCTCTCGGCTATGAATTGCACAGTATCACCGTCTGTCCATTGAGAGACTCGCCTCTAATCCCTGAAATTTCCATTCTTGATTTCCATTCTACGAATCTAACGAATGTAATTATTAAAGAAACACCGTAACACGAAAACGAAGATCTCTTTTCTTTGTGTTTTGTAGATTTTAATCAGGATGGACAACCGGACAACATCAGCTTCATGATTAAACGCGTGAAGGTTCACGGTGATGGTGCACTGAGTGACCCTAGCTACAGGTTCGTTGGTACTTATGGGGTGGAGGAGTTCCTTGAATTATTTTCCGGTAAGTGAATTCATGAAAATATGTTGCGTGTATATATATATATGTCCACCACTTTAGTTACTTTCTGCCGTTTGTCTGACAATTCGTCCATTTTATCATTGTGAAATTTTTATTCTTGTTACTGCAAAAATTTGCGATACTGTTTTTACATGATTTTCCACAGAAGACAATTTCGTGGAGCTCTACATTTAATATTCAATTATTCATCATTCATTGTTTACCATTTTATTGGAAAATCACAGATTAAAGTCTTATCAAGTAAATCGTTCGTTGTTCGAATTTTATTCGAATCTACAGTATCTGGAACTCTTGTGTGAAATGTTACAAATTTTACAAGTAACATTTACTTCCAATAACAATTTAAACTCAAGCACTCTAGTCAGCCGTCAGAGCGTGTCACAAAATCCTCCAACGTGACTTTAGAACAGTGTCCCAGTCGCCGTCGTTACCTAATACCGTGCTTAGTAAGCACGCGAAAGGCTTGGATTACAGAGATGAAAGCGGACACGCGAGACTGTTAGAGAAATCAGGCCCTCCTTTCTTTTCCACTGAAACTAGCCGTTTAATCGTCTGCAGCTTCCTTTTCCTCGATTCCTCTCGACCACCACTCCGGAAACGTCGAACGGAACCAGAAGGTTCTTCCGTGCTTTTGATTTATCGTCCCGAAATCTGTGTTCTCTTCTTCCCTCAGCTTTTCAACCAACCACGCTCTCCTACGGAACACGGCCAGAAAGTTTTGATTTACCCCTTTTCGTCCAACGGCGCTTGTATAATACTTGGACAAGAGTATCGGGTAACGTTCGGTTACCTTAATATCTCGAACGTGCTATCTCTTTCACGGACTCCGCCCATTCCACTCGATTAATTCGCGTTCAGACGTCGAGCAACAACTGACAGAGCTGGCCACAGTAACCGTATCGCGTAAAACTTTCCATCAACGAACGAAGTTGAAGTTTATTAAGCAGCTGGGATTAATTATTACTCAGGTCTGAGACAGAAATGAATTGATGCTCTATGTGATTGAAATTTTCCTGGTTAAATTTATCAGAGATATGATATATCAGATTGCTTCCGACATTCGCCTTACAGCTTGTCAATAAAGTACTCAGTTTCTATGAATATAGGAATTATGAATCATTCTCCCTCATATTTTCGTTCAATACGCGAATGTCGTAAAGAAGTTAATCTAAGTTTAATACAGGAAATGTCTTAATCGATAATTTTAATTGCCTCCTCGTTGAACATTCACAGAATGGGAAATGAGTGAGGGATTTTTAGATCATCAGGATGTATCTAATTTGCACAGGATTAGTTTAGCTCAGCGAAATACGATTTTATGCAGAAACGGTTCGTTGTTGGATTCAGCAAAACCGGCTCTCGTGTGATCTGTATTTCCGTCGATATCGTAATACTTTATGGAAAATTCATACATCGACGAGGCTGGATGCTTCACGATTTTACAGCCCGTAAAATTTGTCAAAGTGTGTAATTCGGCCTGCCTACTTTATGAGAAGTTCAATTGTTGTCGTCGGGCGCATTACAACTTAACGGGGATGAGCGAGGGTTCTTTTCCGGATGAAAATTTAGCACCGATTCCAATCGATACTCAATTATAGCGTGGATAATTTATGGATATTATAATTGTGTCGCATTGATGCTGCACATTATCGATTGTGTTAAAACGCTAATATGAATTACGTCTAGCGTAACTGTACGGTACGCGTTCCAACGGCGACCGCGCTCGAATTTACGTTGTCTGCGATAATTACGCAATTTTGGCCGAAATGTTTGCAGTGAGCGTGGTAATTAATAAGCAAGATTCTGTGGTCACAGTTGCGGCGTGGTTTCACCCTCGAAATCAATTTTTATACACGCTAAATCGTGTACCTTACGAGTTCATATTAAACGTCATCAACGATACACGCTGTACGAGTATAAATAATAATTTTAATCCTGTTACACCGACATTGAAAATACACGATTTCGGACGAGAAACTTTTTTATCTTCCGCTACAGTTAATTAACGATACGTTGAACTGTTTTACTTGATAGACTGACAATGTATCTACTCTACTTGAACGGCTATGAATACACCTGTTCTCTCCACGGCTGACCGTAATTTGGCCTATTCTACTTGAGTGGGTGCAAGAGGTCCCGTTATATTTGTCTAGCTAGAAATACACTTGTTCTAGCTGGCTGGTCTGGTATCTTGTTTATCCATCTAATAAGCATTCCCATTCCACTTATCTTACTAGAAACCAGCTAGCAATCTTCGAGAGATTCCCGCAACAATTGCACTTTGCTAAATTGTGCAAGCTTACCATCGAGTATAAATTGACGAGTCTTCTTTTTCCTTTTTTCCTTCGTTCCATTCTGCGGGAGTTTCTTCAACGTTTCTAGAAGACTAGATGATAATCTATTTTTCCACGGGGTGGCTCTCTTTAGCAGCCGAGGAACTGGATCGACGGAGATAAGTACAACAGCTCGTTACGAGAGATATTGAATATCGGGATGCGGAGTTCGATAATTCCCCGGCAAAGCCCTGAGGCCATTTCATTGGCACTGATCTAGCCAATATCAGGCTCTGCATAGAAAATTTCTCCCCGCCTCTTATTTGCGGTCGGAATTAAAGAGAGAGAAAAATAAAATAATATCCTACGATTCTTTCATGGAAGCAAAAGATACGCGCCAAGGCTGAAATTTTAGTATCTTTCGATAATTTCCATTGCCCCACAATCGTTAATTAATCCCTAATTCGTAGTAAAAAACATTCTCTGTAATCCCGTTGTGTATTTACTCGAATATTGCAACAGTACTGATAAAAGCTTTCTAGTCAACGAAAAAGTGCGCTCGGAATAATGCAACTGGGATTGAAGAGAAATGTTTAGACTGCAGTATTGAGTGGAAAGGAAGTGCGTGAGTGGGTAGAATGGTTCCTTCGAATATGGCTAGAGATTACGGGGATTCACGGGGATTTCACACAGCGAAAGAAAAGTGCACAAAATCTGTCGTTGAGGTAATGTTTTCAGAGAATTTCTAGAGAAAGAATTGAAAAAATTCATTTACACAGAGAGTTCTTCTGTATAAGAAATATCCATTATTGAGAAATTCTAACGTTTACTCGCGTATTCTTCGAGCTTGACGTCGTCGTAACGTAACACTGTTTCAACGACGCGTAAAAGCAACATTTCATCGGAAAAGTTTTCCGTCTTCTTTATAAAATAAAATAACACATTGCCAGGATGCGTTTCAAATAATTCATTGCATTTCCGCCGTAAAATTCGGGAGTCGAACAATTTCGAGTGGAACGATAACGCCCAGGTAGAAAACAATTGGCCATCGGTGAAGCAGCCAGCGACGTTTTTCTCACTTGTCGAGTAAGCGGACGTCTCACCTTGGTCGGTAATGAATTGAAATTGAGGGTGAAACGCGGCGCTGCTGGCACGCACAATGAACAGCTTGCAGCAGCACAATAGCTGATGTACCGTGAATCGAGAAACACGGCCGAGCAACGGTGGACCGTGACATATTTGCCACGGGCGTCCAGTAACCAAATATGCCTCCTGAGACACGCCACACACCGCATACACGTATCCAACGTCGCTCTATTCTCATCCCAGCTGCGAAAAACCACACTCGGATTGCAGAAACATGGTAACCATTGTAAAAGGAATGGAACTGTTTTCCTGCCAGTTCCGTCATTCTTTTCTACTCCTTGTTCTACTCCATAGTCGTACTGTCCATTTTTCATCCATAAGTTATTTGGAAAAGAAAATTCGTGACAAGGAATCAATTTTCTTCGTCCTGCTAATTAAGGGAATATCGTTGTAACCCTCAGTTGCGTAAAATGAAATTTATTACGTCAGTTTATCAACTTGCAAAGTGTAAAAGAAGGTGTAGAAGGAATTTTTGAGAAATTCGAAAAATTGATAAATTTTCTAATCATTTTAAAAAATATTCTGATTTTAGAAATGGGAAGAATTCTTTTTTTTTGTGGTTATAATCGCATAGAATCGAGAAGCAGGTCATGTCCCATGCCGGTGTTTTCGACTGACGGAGGCAAATATTCATCCACCACGTCCCTTTAATTAATTTCGTTTTTAATTTCCCCACTGTCGTTGGCAGTATTTTACTTGGCTGTTTTCAGACAGGCCGGAGAGCGGGAGGGTAGGAGGGTTGAATTCCCAACCGACGTGGCCGAACATCGTCCGAGATGTTATCCGTGAAAAATAATAAATCAGGCGTCCGAAATGTCCGGTAATTTAATTTCTAGAAACTTTTATGCCCTGGCAACTTTCCTCCGCTGGGGAATCGGCGTGTCTGGCCAGCCGGCTAGAGTACATGAAACGGGACGAGGAATAAAAAATAGGAAAAGGGAATATGTCCACTCTCTCTTCCTCTCGCTCTCTCTTTCTCTCTCGCTCTCTCGCCATTTCCACTCCTTCCATCTTTTGTTCACCCTTCTCATCCGTGGAATTTTTTCGCGGCACTTCAAACAAACAAAAAATAATACGTATGAAAAGGAGGGAAGTGAGCAGGAAGGAACAGAAGGGTGAAACGAGCGATGAATATTCTATGAACGTCGTGTATGAATTTCAATGGAAAGGGTTGTTTACGGGCGTCCAGCGTGTTCATCGCGTGTCCTGAGTCTTTCAAGGTCGGCCGTGAGCCTCCGTGTGCTCCACAAGAGGGGTTTGGGAACTATCGTTGTGCACGGCAACTGACGGTACCTTGCATGACAAAGAACAAAAAAAGAAGTTCGAATAAAATTATAGGAAGAAGAATACTGAATCGTTTAGCACTGATTTTCCATGAAACTTTCCCGCAGAGGAGGACTACGACGCGTTCTGTTTGTCGTACATGTTCACATACCGCGACTTCGAGAAAGGAACGCTTGGACTGGCGTGGACTGGGGACCTGAAAAATGCGGGCGGAGTCTGCGAGAAAAACGGGGTAAGTTTCCGGGGGGAGAAAAAAAGGAAGAAAAGAGAAACTAATTCGATCACGCGCGATAGAATAGGTATAATATCGTTTCCACTGGCGCATTCACGGTGTACTTGCAACAATTACCCCGAGAACTAACGCTATTTCGTCCTTGCAGCACTACAGGGGTAGCATGAAATCGCTGAACACCGGTATAATCACCCTCCTGAATTACGGCAAACACGTACCACCGACGGTTTCTCACGTCACCATCGCACACGAGATCGGTCACAACTTCGGATCCCCTGTAAGTTCGGCTTGCATGCTGCGTCGTCCCGTACATCGAATACGTACGGAAAGTTTCGCGGTTGGTTTCGCGACAGAATGGAATTATAGGCACTTGTGTCGATGCTGCTACAGTGCATGTTCGTAATTTCCATTCTATTTAATCGCTGAATCTTGCATTACAAGACTACGTACACATACATCAGAGAAGTAGGAAGAAATTGAATTCGAAGTAGTACGAATCAATAATATGGAATACGAACACTTACAAGATGTATTATGTAAGACATACACTTGTCCCTGTAGTTATTTTTCTACAAAGTAAATACATGTTGAATGTAAACTTGTTGCTTTAAATAAAAAATGCACGCAAGAGGAGGAAGGGGAAATACATAGAATGCCAAGTAGTACAAGTCAACGATAATGATTACATATGAACTCAAAATTACACTTGTCTCTACTATTTTTGCCTGGTGAAAGTCAGTTCTCTTTAAATACAAACTTTTCATTATTCGAAAGGGTGTACTCGGATGTAATAACGGTACAAAGTTCGTTAAAATATCTTGAAAAATAACAGTGGTACACGTATTTTTATAGAACGTGTCGTTTGATGTAGAATCTCACAAAAGTTACCCAGGAATATTCTGAAATAATTATACTTTCAAATGAAAGCAGTATTTGAAAAATTTCTTAACTTCGCCTAGGCGTGTGTAGCCTCTCGAAGAAAAGCGCGGCGCGAAATTACTATTTCTTTGACGAAGAAGTCAAGAAGCATACTTGGTCCGTTCACTTCCTTCAGCGAAGGTGTTCCTTCCAAAGGAATCCAGTTAATGCCCAGGGTAATTAAGCGATGGATTCTTTGAAAAGTTACCCGGAGGAATTTTCTTACTCGCTCAAGTCCCGCAAGTAAAAGGAATTTCAACAACGTCCATGGACACCTTTTTCCAAGCTCTCAAGTAACTACCATACGAGTCGTACAACGACTCTAAAACATAAGAAAACTATTGATTAATAGATAATAAGAGAATTTCCCCTCGACTTCTAACGATACGAAACAAAATGGCGGTAAAACCCCTTGATAAAACAAGTTTTTTAATTTATCAAGATGATTTCTCCAGTGTGAAAAGTGCGGTCATTTAGTAATCCTTTGCTGAACAACAATCCCATATGAATTTAAAGGGCAAAAATGTCACAAAAAGTGTCAAGAAGTTAATAGCCACTTCTTTTCGTTTTGTCGTATTATTCGTGACAAATAATCCCTCTAGAAGGCGTATTTCTAACATGTTTTCTCTTTCTGTTAACGCGGCGACAGCACGACCCGGACGAATGCTCACCCGGAGGGGAGGACGGAAATTTCATAATGTTCGCCAGAGCCACCAGCGGGGACAAACGAAACAACAATCGCTTCAGCCCGTGCAGCCTGGTCTCCATAAATCCCGTTCTAAATGCCAAAGCTCGCTCGTCCAAAGGATGCTTCGCTGGTGAGCAGAGAGAAGCTTTTGGAATTTTAATTAGTTTCGAACGGGGTCAACGGCTGCCACCTCTGTCCTTCATTCACCAGCCCTGACCTCTTCTTGGCCCACTCGATCGTCCGCCTGAATTATTTATGCAATCGACGTCGGAACTGCTTACAGGATGTTCCGCTAATTACTTGTTGACGCATTTCCTGTTGAATCTCCGTCCGATAGGTGCCTGCTGGCTGCTCGGTGCATATGAAATCGTGTTGTCTGATCTTGAACGTGGTAAAGAATTCTACCGAGGGATTCGCTCTCAGCTGTGAAGTAGTATCTCGTGAGATATATCGTACAGAAATACTCGAAGAATGACGAAGTTTGTAGACAGTATTTAGTAAATCAGATAGCAAAAGTGCTCTTACAAAAGCTACGTGAATTAAAATTCCACCCCCTGCTTTTCATTCTTCGTTTCTTCGTTTCTTCGGAGGTTTGGATAATTTTTTCATTTAAAAAATAATACGAATTCCACGAATTCGTTTCATCAATAAACACGCCAAGTTTTGTCACCAGGTATCGCAAAATTACTGTAATTAAATGCAATCGACTTTTCGTATGCACCAACGTAATAATATAATATGGAAATCTGAAGAATGTTTTCCTTTTTCTCGGTTACAATTTGAAGATTTTTTTCCCCTTGGAGCAAAGCAAAATGCGAGTGAGAAGGCTAAGGAGAAAAATGTAAGGTTTCTAATCCACTTTTACAACGTTAGTAAATTCGCGTCTTGAGATGGGGAAGGGCAAAGAGGGGATGGAAAAAAGGCAGGGAACGCATCGATGCTTCGGAATATCGATTGACCCAGGGTCTAACTGCAACTCAATTCCAATTCTAATAGCAGACTCTACATGGCCCGCGCGAAATTCGTTTCCAGCAACGAGCGTACGGGCAAATGAGCGACCGGTGGCGCAAACATGAAACAGATACGACCCGTTAATTGTTAATGACACAAAGATCTCTGCTAGTCACTGAAGTTGGTAACAGAAAAAAGGAAACGTTCAAATATTCCAGATAATATTGATACTTTCACTGAATAAGACAAGGGAAATATCTTGTGAAAAAAGATTCTTAAATGGGGGCTATTGTTCGCATATAAATAGTAATGATAATTATAATATAATACGATTTTACTATGTAGTTCGAAAGGAAGATCAAGGATAGTTTAAAAAATACTGGATGATTGCAGAAGTTCGTGCCCGATTTTCAGAAATGGGGGGAACCTTATCGCCCTTCAGCATACATTCCTATCGAAAGATACAACGCTTATGCTTTATTTTCAAATAATTATTCATTTCGTTTCATTTTATTTTCAAATGAAATGTGCCTTGACACACACCTCTTTTGTTTCATTTTCAAATCGGGCACGAACTTTTGCAATCATCTAATATAAATGATCAATTAAATTGCTACGAGGAGTTTGTGCAATTTCTTTCCTTTTCTTCTTGTTTTAAAAATTTCTTGAAATTTTTTGAAAAGTTCAGCGTAAACCAATGTAAAAACAGAGGGGTTTGAGCATCGCGACTCACAGGTGATTTCATTACACAGTCACGACTGACTTGTTGAATTTGATAGAAATCCAGGATTTCATTAAACTCGTAGCAAATCAGGTTAACATTTATTCTACCTACTTTGCAGCTCTTTCTCTGTTCAATCGAAAAACAATTCAGTGTTACGTCGAGAAATAGCGATAAAGTATCCGTACACAAAATTTAAGTTTTTAATCAAATGTACTTCTGAAGAACATGATTTAAGAAACACAAGAAAAAATCAAAAAAAAAAAAAAAAAAAACGAAATTGATAGAAATTATCATGTAGCACAGAGAATAATGTCGATAGAAGCGAAATGTAAAATCGATAATTCTCATAGAGCCCCAAAGCGCGATCTGCGGGAACGGAGTGGTGGAAGATGGCGAAGAGTGTGATTGTGGATGGGAGGAGGATTGCAACGACCCTTGTTGCCACCCTCAACGGCTCCATCATGCCCTCCACGAGATACCATGTCGTCTCACCGATGGTGCAGTGTGCAGTCCCAGTCAGGTAAGTGGCTCTTTTCGTTCGTTCGTTCGTTGAACGTCCACAAAAGCTCGTTCCCCATGGTGAACCTGTGATTAAATCTAATGTCCTATCCGCGTTTTACCATTTGCTCTCTTTGATTTCTCACTTATGTCGATCGTACCACGGAGAATTCGAAAACAAAGTTGCCAACCTGCACGATTAAAGGTACACCGGAAAATATTATACCAAAAGTTTTCTACATTAAATATGAAACCGAATGACTGTGCAATCGAAGAAGGTGCACGCGATGCGCAGAGGTTAAACAGAAGTTAAAATTGCATTTTTCACGAAGAACACGTCAAATGCCCGCTTACGCCCGCACTCAAATATTAAAAGAACGATACCTAGCGAAAGGCTCGAGTTTTCTAAGATCCCCGGAGAGAGATATTTTAACGGACGTTACAAATACGCCCTTTTAGTAGCAAACCGGGGAAAAGTGGTGGCGAGGTTTCTTTGAAATTTTCGATCAAGTCTCATTGTAATTCCGACAAAAGTTACATGTTGAATATGTTATGAGTTTCGTATTGAATATGTTGAAAACGTAATGTCCCATGGAAACGGAACACGGTATCGATTTCCCTCGGAGACCTAAAGTAATGTGATTATTTGCAGCGTAAAACAGTGTCCAAAAGGGAACCGTCACTCTTCGAACTTTCTCCTTCTTCCATTCGTTCACTCCTTCTAGCCATAAACGTTTCCATGTGAAAGAAAAAGTTTTAGAAGACAGCGTATACTTCTTGCCAGCCTCTTAATTATATCCAAGGAAAAGCATCATTTTTCTTCCTCTTTCTCTCAAGAGTACCATTTTTCCCCCTGTTTCTGACACGAGAATAGCTATACATCATTCTAAAATTGAAACTGGATGATACGTGCACGTTTGCAATCCCCTTATGTGTGACATCACCAATTAATAACACGTCGGAGGGAGCCAGAGAGGTATCGACGTTTATTAACGATACACTAAAGCCGTAATTAAACGCGAAACGTGCCGTTACACGCGCGTCTCGTTCCCGCCCGCGTTAATCCGTTCGATACCGCTCGTTTGTTCCCCTGGAACAAACCAGGGGAAACTTGGTTACGGCGTGCGTTTGGATAATTAAACCGACGATAATGAGTGCAGGAAATCCTTCGCGGTCGAAATCGAGACGAAGCATAAATTATGCAGCGGCGAACTTTGACGGCTCCTTCAAGGAGATGGAATCGAACGGTTGGAACTCGATACTGGAGGTACACTGTTCCCTCTGGCGTTGATTTTCTAGAAAGGATCGTTTGGAGAAAGTTTCGGTGCGGTAATAACGACAAACGAAACATTAGAGTGTTTAAGTATTGGTAAATTAATGTCGCGAAAGATGAAGGAAAGGGGAGCAAGTAGTACAGGTCAATGGTATTCGTACTCCTGTAGAACTCAGAAACGTAATTATTTTTCTTACCTTCTTTCGAGGAGAGTAAATATGTGATCAATGTGAAATTTCTATTATGGAACAAGTAGGGTACATAGAAATAAATGAAGTGTCAAGTAGTACGAGTCAATGATACCGAGTACACACAGAGGACCGAAAAATGTACGTATATTTGAAATATTTTTTTGAGAAGAATAAATACCACTTGAAGTTGAATTTCATATCACTTGAAAGAGTATACTTAAATGTAGCAATCCCATAAACTTTATTAAAAAAAATTCGTAAAGGGATAGTAAAAAATCCAAAGCAACAAAGATAGAGTATCTATGGAGAAGAAAGACTAATGGGCTGAACACGAGACTCTTTTCGTGATGATCGTGTTGGGAACTGCAATCTCGTACATGTACGATTCTTCGCGCTCGAAGAAACTTCCTGGTCACGGACGGCACCATGAAGGAGCTTGAACCGAGAATTAGTTTCCAGGTATGTTCAGAGTCAGGGAGAGACTCGCCTAGTTTCCGGCGGGAATACACTGTGTGTTATTGTCGACGAGGTGCAAACACATAGAGGATGAGTTTAATTTTCAATGTTAGTCGTCGTTGTCGTCGTCGTAGTAGTCGTAGTCGTCGCGTGTACCCGCCGTTCTCACAGTCTATCCCGGAAAATGGGACTAATTAATCAAACCGAAATCGAGGCGGCTGCTATCGGCCTTGGAACACCAAGAGGGAAACTCCAGCCAGCTAAAAACAATTAATCTTGCTATATAGATGGGGTAGAGTCAGGAACGTTTGATTTCAGAATTGCATCCTTCCTTCGAATTTCGTCCCAGTGAATATTCTTCTTCTCCTCCTCCATTTTTTTCTTCTTTTGTTCCCCTGGCTATACAGTTACGTGCTAATTAACGGCGGGAAAATTGGGGAGCCTCGCCGGTTAACGAGATTTTTCAATCAGCAGAAAGAATTACAGTGATATTGTTCGGCTAGCAGTGGTAATTGCCGCCTCTCTCCCGTTCCTTTTCCACACTGGCGGCCTCTCTCCTAATTATGCGCGTAGAGAAACTTTGAATAGGCTGTAATTTTAAAACACTTCGTTTCAGCCCGTATTCACCGTATTACGCAATTTCGGCATTATGTTCGGAAGAATCGTCTGTAAAATTGTTGGACGATTGTTCCCGCGGACAATAGCTCCGTTGATTACTACGCCAATTTTTACGACTTACCGTATACCACAGAGATAGTGGTCGAAATCATCTTTCGAAACGCATTTCAATGCTGAAAGATTGCAAGTTTTTTTTTCTTATTCTCGGGCCATTATGGAAGAAATGCGATGCCTCCCTTGCTGCATTCATCCGTCGCTGAGGATAAACGGAAGAAACGCGTGGAAACGCGAGGTGAACGATCACGATCAGGACCGCGAACGGGTTTTACAGACGAGACTGAAGAAGAAGAAGAAGAAGAAGAAAGTGGAAGCGTGAAGGGAGAAGAAAGAAAAGCCAGAACAGAGGGAAGGAGCCAGCATTCGCGGAAGTCGATGCATTAGGTGCATCATGGGGGAAAAGTGCCGGATGCAAAACACGTAGATTCTTGGAAGCACGAAGACGTAGACGAATGGGCCGGTGTCTTCTCCTGTTTACCTCGACCGAGTTCAGGGCAATGAACAAGGGACGAGGGAGCATGGAACAGAGGAACTGGAGGTAGAAAGAAACCAGCAAGCTGTGGACATTAAGAGAAGTAGGAGGGTGGGAAGGGGAGACGAACAAGAATGTCGAGAAAAAAATTGAGAAAGATAACGAAGGAGGTGCAGGGCCGATCGTCTACCCGGTGGGGAAAGAAAACAGGGGACGGAACACGAAGAAAGATAAATAGCCGAAGCAAAGGAAAACAAGCGTGGCTACTCGACAGATAAAGGGGAGGATGGGATGTTTGCAGGGACGAAGACGTGAGTGTTCTTGGATGAAAGGGGTGAGTTATTTTGGAAGGGAATTTATACGCTCGAAATTATTAATGGCTGGATTAGAATGATCGATGGAGTTACAAGTGACTCCCATATTTGTTTGAAAGAGTATCAGTTATTACATTTATATATGAAATATTTCTTCAATCTTGTAAATTACTCGAACACACCCCCAGCATTTTTAGGTAATTTCTTATTCGTAAAAATCGAATATTGTCAAGAGCAAAGTCAGCCTCGTTCTGTCCGATTAATTGTTTTAAAAATTACTCAAAAAACCATTAAAAAGGAACGTTATTCTAGATTATTCATTCTACTTCATGTTACTAACTTTGTAGATTATTCAAGAGTCCTGCTAATGTTTGCAACCAATATCTTGCTCACATTATCGTGAGGACCTCATTGCTCAGGAATATTTCAACACAAACATACACACCTCCTCGTTCATTTTCACCTGACTAAAGTTCTGGGAAACGTTTGCTTCTCTTCGCACGAATAACAGACTCCGCCGGATCTTGGAAGCAGTTTCGCGAGATACATAATACGGAGAAGGACTGGGCAAACGAAAGATACAAAACAGAGGAGCTGTATGTTCTCCCGATATTCTCCGGGGTTGTCGCGTTCTTTTCCGTGACGGCATTAAGGATAAGGGATTGCGATCCCGCGAGGTGTTCTGCAGGGAAATGAACCGCGTATAAGTGTCACGATTGAAACGCAGATAATATAAGTACAGCTGTGTCCGTATGTGTGCAGCAAGCAGCTGCGCTTTGAAAATAGAACGCAGGGGATTCGTTTTATCGAAAGAAGTCGCATTACCGTTTCTGCTCGAAGGATCGAATCTCTCTCGAGATAGCTAGATCGTTTCTCGGCGCTCGACGTCTTGCGTCGTATATTCATTAAAACGTGCTCGAGAATAACGACGATGTTGTTACATACTTTTCCCTGTGGTACAACGACGGCGATGATTTTCTAGCGCAACAACCCTTCGAAGAATTTTCCTTATTTGCTTTGCTGATAACAAGATTTTATCGTTACATTCTGCACAATTTCGTTTCTTTGATGTTTCTGATTACAGAGAAAAATAGTACAAGAAATGGTGACATTGAAATTAAACTCCTGAGAAATATGCTGATTTTGACTTTTTTTTACACCTTTGCCCAGCTTGTTTCACATTGTAACGGGTTAATACAATATTTGGTTAAGGAAGTAAGAGAGATAAAGGAGCAGAGGTGCAATTATTCACACCTCGAATATCAAAGGGGCGACGATCCCTGTTGACCAAAATATTTCCATCTCCGGATGAATTCCATCTAGAAAAGAGATTCAAATAATTCCTCGCTTCGTTAGCCGCGGCATTTCGCTACATCCGCTGCGGCAATTACGCGGAGACGGACTTCCGTGATTTCCCGCCATTGTCGCGCCATCCGCCCTCTTCGAGCAAGGAATTCTTCCTATTGAAGTATTGAAATTCGATAAATTGATTCGTTTCAGCCTGTCTTGTTACGTTCCGGGTCGCGGGGGTTGGGATTCAGCCCAACCGTAAGGCTTGAAGTACGAAGAGCTACTCGGTTTCTGTTATTACGTGTTCACCCTGCTGAAACCCTTCGGTCAAAGCGTGTGTGTCAAGTGGATTCTGACTTTAAACTCACAATAGCTACTTTTCCTCTTCCTACTTCGTGCCAGCAAACATTTATTGTAAAATAATCCCGGCAAAAATTATTCGTTTATATCACGATTATGAGCTTATTATGGTATTAAAAATGCTGGGAGACGTAAAATAATTTATATCCCTTTTGAAGTGTCATTTCTATGAATCTACGATCTGAAATATATCGTTTGTTCAATAATAATAATGTGCGATAACTTGTGGTGAATTAGTTGGACAGTAAACAGGCGGAAAAATTAAATGAACAAGCTTTAATCTGGCCCTGGCAAGAATCTTGTACCCGAGAGAAAGTTTTCGTGAGTTATGACCTTTTAGATAAGAGTTATCGTCGCAAATTAACAGGCTGTACGATTACGTAAACATAGGCCGGAATGAAGGTGGTTGATGAAGCGATTTCTCCTTGGTAATTTAAATTTTCCGCCGGACTCTCAATCTTGTGAAAATTGTAACCCGGAGGAGGCATACGTCCAGAACGATACAACTCTTATCGTTTCCAATTAAGAATGGCTAGGGTAGACAGCCAAGGCCTAAATAAAAGGGGAGGCGAGTCTCTTGACGTCGCATTAAGGCAGTCCTATATCTTCTTGGAATTGCACCACCGTTCAGAGATAAGTCCGTATCCTGGCCTCGGATTGAAAGCGTTAATCGCCGACTTGGAATGAAGGCATGCTCCTTCTCATGGGAGGGGCTGAATCATGAAAAGAAACGATTAAGTGGGCTGTTGAAGGAAATTGAAAATCTTTCGGTGTCTGTAATTGGTAAATCTTCTCTGTTCCTCCTATTCTCGCAACTATTTGAAAATAATCGTATCGTGGGACTGATAGAATTTCTCGAGCAAGTAAAGAGAGAGTTTGGACCATAGACGTATGAAAGAATGTTTCGAGTAAGTGCTTCAGATACCAAGGCTGCAAGGTCACCTAAGGTGGACGTGACAAAACGTCTTCTCAGGATGACTTGAGAATTCGCCTGGACAGAATGAAAAGGATAGATTCTATTTTCAGATAGAGCAATAAATGGAGAGAGAATGTGTGGGTGCAAGGATAAGTGATTGTGAAAAATATGCGTGGGGGGAAATTGAGAGTCAGGGTGTTTAGGAAGAAGCTCGTCAGAGTTTTGAGAAAGAGAGTTCTTTAGATTTTTTTCAAACAGACTGTTCAAAAAGAGCGTAATGTAATAGTCAGTCTCGGTGAATCGTATGAAATGTTAAGAAAAGCGTGTTAAAACGAAAGGGGGACAGAGGTCGAGATTTGCCGCTCGGTCAGTAATATTCTCATAGACCGGCTGGCTGCACTTTTCCATCGGGTTATTTATTTCCTGATATATGCACAGAACCAAGAATACATCCACTTGCATCGACATCGAATTTCTTCCTCTGCTTTCCGTGCCAATTCGTTGAACCGGAAAACGTATCAGACCGGGGGAACCTTATTTTCCAAGCATCGGCTGCCGGTCCCCACGGGTATCCTTCTATCAGATATTCAAACCGTGGGATCGTTCTTATCTGCACGTTAAGCGAAAATCATTCGATTCGCTTAAACGTCCCCCACTTCCTCCTCTATCCAGTAGTGCTTCCAACGTTTCGCCAATTTAATTAAACCGAAAATTGTCGAGACTCCACTTCCTCTTTATCTCTTCCCGCGTCTTCCCTCCTCTCTTAGATTCGACGAGTTTCGCGAAACAAGATGCTAAATTCTGGATAAATTGTGATATAGTATTGTGAAACTGATTGCGATATAGTATTCCGTTATTAGAAAACCCGGTTGAACTCGGTGAAACGAACGTTTCAGTCATTTTTGTTTGTTTTTTTTTTTTTCTTGAACGTATCGGTACATAAATTATCGCCAGAATGTTTATAAGAGAGTGTAATTTCGAGGCAGACACAGCAATTTCACAGATGGAGGGCCAGGAATCTCGGCAAGTTTCTCTCGAGAACGAGAATCACGATTTCTCGCGCGGACAACGTCCTTAATGCACACTTTAATCGCCAAATGCTTCCGTAATATCCTGAAACGCAAATCTAAAAACCTCCGCGGCACCTCTCTCTTTCTCCCTCTGCGAGGTTTCTCGGCGCTATTATTCCGATTTCAGTTCTTCATGAGCTTTATATCGTTCAGTTTTATTTTGTACCCAGACGAGACCTGCGAGTGAAGCCTCTGCTGGAATATTGAAAAGTCGGTCATTTCTTTGAATATTTATCGCTTCGAGATGGACTTGGACGATCTGTACGCCCAAGATACAAAGAAAAACACCCGGGAAGTTTTTCGAGCGTGAAATGCCGGGTTTCGCGGTCTGTTTGTGCCCTCGACTTCCGGTGCACTCCTTCGACGTATTTGCACGGATCACAAGTCTGGAACTTCGACTCGGTATTCTTCCTTAAATTCCATAAATATTCATCATCGCGAATATGTGCGACGTGAAAGTGGGTTTCCGATACAGCAAACAATAAATTGACAGGATGGTATGAATAACTGTGATAATATTTGCGAACTCTTTTTCAAAGAGTACTTTGTAATGTGTGACAGTAAAATGAAAAAATAAATCCCTTGAAAAAGAAAAAGGAATTCATTTTAATCCGTATTTTTAGCTTTGTAATCGAAAGCTGAAACGTGTTTGAACTACCCATATTTGCTAACTGTTCCCTGATTGATTGCAGTCAGTTTATTTGTTCAAACCAAAACACATTACGCGTCACTGACTAATATAATAGTTATCACCCCAATCGATTATTGAAGCATACGGAATAGTAAATTCAGGGGCATATTGTTGAATTATTATTAATATTATTGGCTAATATTGCTGAAATGGAGTTGTTACAAATATTATGCACACGACGGTATTCTATGGCATTTCAATAGCTAAATTGGCTTGAAATAGTAACATATTACTGTACACCGTACCTGAAATGTTATCTAAAGAACATACACTACCGGCCAAAAGTTTGGAATCACTGTGTATTTCAAGTTCCAGAAAAATTCCTAGAAAAAAGTCAGCAGCTTTAAGAATTTTTTAACGAATTTTGTATCATTCAAATCAATCGATATGAGATAAATTACTATTTATCTCCACAATATCAATATCAAGTCTATGAAAAGTTAGTAGCAGATTCAGTACTGATGAAAATTGGGAGGTGATTCTAAACTTTTGGCCGGTAGTGTATCTACGAAAATTAAGATGTAATTAGGAATCGTGGTAGCGTAACGAGTAAAACTGAAAGAAATAAAATTGAAAAAAGAAATGTTAGTTACAACTCCTGATATGTTTTAGATTCCATTTTCCGTAATACTAAATTTATTTTTTCTGCAAGTTTTCTTGTCCATCATCTCAAAGTTGTATCAAAAGTAAATATCTGCAATTAGTCGTTTAAAAAAGCATGTAACGGGGAAAAATATAAAGCGGTTATAATGATTGTACATATTAGTAGAAACAATAAACAAGGGAAAAATCGGAAAAAAGAAGACCATAAAGGAGGCAACAAACCAGATGGAAGTGCGTCGAAAGGAGAAAAAAATGCAATGTAGCGTGCAAGAAACAAAAGGAAAAAGAAAATAAGGCGAGAGCAAAACAAAGTCTTGGTATCGCTGGCGCACAACAATGTTGCCTATTGTTCTACCTAGAAAATCGCTGGAAAAATCGAGATATTGTTCCCGTGTACCTGAGCACACAATGCCGCTGAAACGCAGAGAGCGCGTTCCAGGGCATTATCATCGACACGTGGTGAAATAAATTAGCGAGCGACAAAGCGGGGGCGACGGGGGCGGTACCGATAACTCCTGCCCCCTCCAGAGTCGGTGAATTGCAGTGGTGGAGAGGCCGTTTAAAAAACTACGGCACGTCGTACGTTGCGCCAGAAGTACCGTGAATCATGAATTTTCGATGCGACAAAGCCGTGCGCGATCGCCAATTATAAAATCGCAATCTGTGGCCGGAAAATTGCTGCACCGATACAATCTGATACGTTTGCTCGATTTTTTCTTGAGAGAGAGGGAAAATTCAGCATGTTTAAATTGACATTTATTGTTTCCTGGCCACAGTAGTATAATTATGCAACATTTCATTCATTCAACCTGCATAACTTTCTTCAAAGTTCCTTCATTATTTTTCATCTACACACTTTCACCTATACAGGGTAATTCACGTAACTTGTTCACCTAAAATATGTATCCTACAAAAGTTGTATGTATATAGAAATTGCACGGTATCAAAAGGAGCATACGATGCTGAAACGGTTTTTTTAAATAACCTACTTTTTTACGAGATACCAAGATGTCCTTGAATGTTTCAATAGAATGCGTACCTTTTTGTATCAAAATTTAAAAGAGCACTGAATTTTCTATGAGAAAATTATAGAATACAAAAAAAAAGTGAAATAAAAATAATAAATTATTAACCAAACTGGTCCCTATAGAACTACAATAAACTCCCCAAATTTCCAGTTTCATTTGTCAAATACATTCCTTTCGATCTCTCGTTACCAGAGATACAAAGAATCATATATGCTAATGCATATCCCTCAAATATAACGTGCACCATACATATTCCTCGACAAAGGAAAACAGAGGAGCTTTTTCGAGCATCGAAACTTAGCCGTGGACACAATACCAATACAGACCTTGAAAGCGTTCACAATGGAAGCGTTCGTCCTCCTTTTCAAACCGATCTATCCATCGCACAAACAACCCCGCTTGTATTTCCGACGACCTAAAAAACGATCGAGCGTTTCAACCGGACACAGTGTACGCGTTACTCCCCAACACCTCCTGCCCCGCGTGGACTCTGGTTGTTCACCGTTGCGTCGGCTGTTTCAGGGCCCTTGCTGCACATCCGGCTGCACTCTGCGTAACGGTGATAAGTGCAGGGACGACAACGGTTGCAGGGACGCGAGCTTTTGCGACGGACGTGGTCCCCAGTGCCCGGCATCTATCAACAAACCTAACAAGACCATATGCAACGAAGAGTTCGTCTGTTACATGGGGGTGAGTGTACACGTTTCCGTCTATGAGAAACTTTCATCTCACCGGGACACCTTTTCACGTGTTACTCGAGTCGCTTAGAAGTTTCAGGAAGTGGTCAATCTGTTTACCTGCCACATTCTTTATACGAGATATCTAGGAGACAGGAAAGAGGTGTTACAACAAGAAATACGATCGTGTTTGGTGTAAATCATGTTGGGCGACGAAAATGAGAGTGTTGCAATGGGTGACCAGTGGTAAAATTACTCGTGCGAATTTACGATTTCCTCATGGAAGCCTGACTGCTCGGCTAGTTACTTATTCATTGGAGCCTCCTTCGCTGTTTCCGCGATCGTCGCGGCAACCGTAACACGCGGTATACTTTGACGACAGGTAGTTTCAAAGCAGTGGCTCATTTCTTCAATGTTCTACAATCTGTTCCTCCAAGTACGATAAATCGAATTAGAACGTAAAAATTCTTCTGTCTAATTCCAGTTAGGTCTGTATACTAAAATTCTAGAAGAAACCATAAATTATCAGTTTGCCTATCCTTCGAAAATCAGACTGCTTTGAAACTTTTTCTCGAGAAGAAAAAAGTCTAAGTATTCTCAGCTACGTTTCTCTTTAAGAAGATCCACATTTAAGTTTCCATTAGTCATCGTATTCGAAACGTGAGAATATCCGGCAGAATGGAATGAGCGTAGCTCCGTCTGGGTAAGCTTACGATCGGTTCTGCGGAGAATCCCTCAGGGGAGCGATTTCGAAATGTACGCGCGGCATTTTCCTACGCGCGCGCCGTGCTTTCTATTTTTCCTCGCCGCGTTTCGTGTCTCCGGGGTAGATTTAAAGCTCCGTGCAAACGCACGCCCTGAATGAAATACCCTTCATCCCGCGGAAGCGTATTCATCTGTCAAGAAATCTCGAGATTCTGAACCGTGGATGCTAAACCACGTGTAGAATACCTGGACGAACCTCTGAATTAATTCAATTCTGCTCTTCTCTAACGAGATTACATTTCGAAGAAAAGAATATTAACCCTCCACTTAGCAAAAAAGTCCTGGAAATGAAAACCCCGTGTTCATTATTTAATATATCACTTTAGCTTAAGTAAAATTAACCTTCCTGAACTCGCGTAATTTTTCAGTGCATAATGACTCACGTCGGTCTCTCACACCGATTTTTAAATGACAGGAATATGGTATTTATGCCTTACAGTTTCGTGTAATTCATTTTTAATATTTATTTGGAATTATTATTGTTGGATTATAAAGAGAAATGAGTATGTGTCTGTGTAATAGTAACGGCAAAAATAATCAACATACTGAGACAGATTAATATAAATATATATATATATATATAGAAATAACATAGTAACCATCTGTTTAGTATGGGTGACGCAGATACGTTTCTTTTTTTCTCTGCGTCTTGCTCACAAAATGATTCAGAAAAATATTTATTTATTTTTGTATCAGTCTATAGATACAATTCTTAATAATTTGAACTTAAAGCTACATGCAGCAGATAAACTTTAAAAAATCAACTTTCTTTTCATAAACTAAACTACTCTAACGAAGCATGAAAGTTGAAATGTAAAATCATAAAAATAGGAAGTAATTGTTTTCAAAATTCGAAATATAACAATCTCGGCATATCATATTTGCGTGTTCCGAAAAGAAGTGGTGTAAAGTAATTACTCGCGCAAGTTGTTTAACAAAAATATATTTATTTGAATCCGATAACGCTTAACCTAATTTTGAAGTGTAGGCGACGCGATGCACGTAGAAAGAAAGTCTACCACAAAAAGCCTCGTGCCTTTTTGGGGGCTCCCTTAAGTAGCCCCTTTTCCCTGGGAAAGTCCCAGGAAGTGGGGGCGCGGGCCTGCATTGCCGAGGCAATACTCTTGTCCTCCAGGACGAAGAAACTCGGAGATGTTTGGAAAAACATCTCTCGATTCTTCACCTCGAGGGCCAAGAGACGCCAGGCCTAAGTGCGTGAACCCCCGTGGCGGTCGCCACAAGTATTTTTGGCATTTAATACAATTGTACTTGGTTTTTCGGTTTTTCTTTGAAGAACAGTATGAACAGCGTCCTGGTTTGAAGTCCCTTCTTGTTTATTACGACCACAAAGTTGGACTAATCTTTCTCTGATCAGTTTTGGAAAATTTATACATCATGAGACTATAAAAACTTACCATTGGCCACCTATTGGTACCTCTGGCACAATTATAAATAGCACACAATTTATCGACTATATCTACTCCAACTTTAGTGGAATTATATGCCACAATAATTTCTGGTTTATTTGTTTCCGGATCAATACTGATGTCGTCATGCACAGTTCAAATGAGCAGTACATTTTTACCTTTTTTAAGTACATATGATACCAGAGTACAATTGTCTTCGAATCCAAATAAACTGGAGTCAATTGCTCGATTTTCACTTTGAACAAAATTTGATGGTATTTCTGTTTTATTTTTACGAATGGTTCCTACAGTGCTCAAATTATTCATCGGTCGGTCTCGGAGACCGAAAAACACTGCTATGGACCCGTGTAACTTCCAACAATGCACACGTGGTTACTAATGAGAGCACAAAAGGTATTCAAGATGGTACAAGGAAGGACAGGGTGAAAAATAAGCGAGTTCCGATTTCGTCGGTCTGTGGAACCGCCACGCGAGTTTAGGAAGGTTAAATTTATAAATGTTACGATTAAGCGATTAAAACAACCCAAAGCTCTTTTGATGCATAAATTAATGAGTAATTGAAAGTGTGCAAATAATTATGCGGCAGCTATCGAGAATACTTGTCTTCGGGTGTAAAAAGTGGGCGAACACAGTAGAGAAAATGGCGCGAAGGTTATTTCCTCCAGTTGCATTCGATTACAGTCGGCCAAGCGGAAAACGCGTTTCGGTCGCACACGGCACACGTGCAACAGTTCGACGGTATGCGCCAGCAGCTAGGAATCGATACTACCGAAATACTGGCTTTCTAATCTGCAAGTACAGTAACGAGGGCGAGGGGCTGCCGTTCACAATTTGCTTTGCCGTTTCCGCCGGTTGCGAACCTTCTTAACGGGGTAGTTCGATACCTCGTACTCGAAAATCGAAATTTCGCGCACTATTAACAATAAGATTCCAAAGAATTTTTTTCGAAAAATAGAAAGTTACCTACCTCGACAAATTTTCCTAATACAGTAAAACTATAATTTAACGCCAAGAAAAAATGTTTATCAAAGTTCGCTTGATATTTTACAAAGAAAAAATTCCGGAAATATAAGGCAACAGAGTTCCTCCACTGTAAATTGTTCTCTCAGGATAATTTCCACAAAAATGCCATAAAAAATCGGTGGAATAAGATTGCACAGGAGTTCCCGTTCTCGCAATACGCTCGCCGTGTATTAATTCATCGCGTAGCACGCGATAAGCATGCAGGGGAGCCGCGAGTTACGCACGTGGCGCAGCAATAGCGCGTAACCTGGTTAGAAAGCGGTGATCGTAATTTCGGAAATTACTTTCGCGGTCCGCCGTATTGCGGTCGCGGGCCGTTTTCAACGAGGCAAACAACAGAAACGGAGGCGGCGCTTAGAGACACTGATCCGTAAGAGAATAAACGCTTGTGAGTTCGCGAGCTTATCTATCTTCGGCTGGAAATTACCTCGTATATAGAGGTTTATGCGCGTAGGCTGACACTTTATCGGGCTTTTGCATTGCTTCCAGGAATGCACAGGCAGCATTTGCCTAGCTTACGGCTTGGAATCCTGTCAGTGCATCGCCGGGCCCAAGGATCCACCGACCAAGAGCTGCGAACTCTGCTGTAAATTGCCGGGAGAAGATCAACCCTGCTTGTGAGCAAAACGATCATTGTAGACGTGGTTTCATGCGCACGTTCACGTCACTCCTTTTCCCTCTGTGTCTCGCCGGATTGTTTAAGTGCCTCGTGTCTCGTGGGCTCTGCGGAAGACATTTCTCCACGAGATGTCTGTCTCCGGTCGATTGCCACAGTTCAGCTTGTTCTATATGCCACGCACACGGCCATTCTATGAAAATGAGCGAAACTGAAGTTTTCTTCGAGTGCAGACGGAACGAAGAAAATTTTTGGAATATCTTGCCATTCGATAAAGTATTGAAAGTGAAGAAACACGAACGAAAGAAAGAGGGTCAAACACTTCGAGTTTAATTTTTCATTTATTAAAAGCTCGAAAATCTTTTCTTGCATCCTTGAATCGTTTTATTCGGTACTTCGTGTCGAACTTTTAACACAGATAATCTTAAAATCAATTTTCCATTACGTTTAGCGCGATAAAAGTTTAGTTGTAAAGCGACTGAAGAAAAGGAGAGGAGGGGATTGTTAGCTCGATGTAGTGCAGATCGAAAAAAAGAAAAGCACACGTGATCGGAAACGCATCTCTTTGCAGATCATCGTTCGCATGGAATTCAGCGCCTTACGATATTCCTGACATGCTGTCGAAGCCAGGCACGCCGTGCAACGATTACAATGGCTATTGCGACGTCTTCCAAAGATGTCGAGAGGTAATATCCTATCCAAGCTCTCCAACTACCCTTCGTTTCGCCATTTCTCTACGAGAAATCCATGTCACTTGGACGAGAGAGAGAGAGAGTATTCAAACGAAAGCTTTCCGTATTTTCTGGGTATCCATTGCATTATTTTCACATTTATTTTTCATATAGAAATCTCGATCCACGATAACGTCAAGTGGTTATTCAAGACGAGTGTCCTCGATATTTCCTCTACATCCGTTTCATTATTTTATATTATATTATAACAACTATTTTAGGTGGATCCAAGTGGACCATTGGCAACTTTAAGAAGGTTTTTGCTGTCCGATGCCAGTCTAGCGAATTTCCAACGTTGGTTGGTCGATCGTTGGTACATCGTCGGGATAATTATCTTCGTTTTACTGTTGATCGTGGTAAGTGAACGTTTTCAAATGAATTTTCCCAGTTGAAATTCCTGAAAATATATAGATTCCAAATGAATACCGTTTGCTCGGCAAAAGCAAACAGGTCCAACCTGTGAAACATTCCTGACGGTTTAAAAATACTTTTTGTGTATTGCACGTGGACCGCGCGCGCACCCGTGTAAAAATGCTATTGATGCATCGAATATCCATGTAAATCCAATTACCTGTCTTGTCAATTAAAACATGTACAAACGTACAAAAGGCAGGTCAGAACAGTGGAGCTGCGCGTGTGTCTGCCATGTCCACGGGAAAAATGTTGCGAGCAGACCGCGGTGTTCCGGTGAAAATACGATTCAATTACGTAAAATACGATGTTTCTGTTTTTGCAAGCTCGTAAAAGCGAATATTCCGCGCGTAATATTTAATAGTATCGAGTAATAAGTCAGCCCGTTTAATTTAGACTTGAAACAAGTTTATGTGTTATTGAAAAAAAATTCATTCTCGTGTCACGTTCGACAAATATCGTGTATAACTACACGTTTCTCGTGAAATTCACTCTGTACAGTTCGTGCATTGCTGGTTAATACTGCTTCTCGATTAACTGTTTATTCGAAATCTGTAAGTTGACATATGTAAATTAGAATACTGACAGAGGAAAACAGTTCAATTTCCTCGTGATCGTATTTTCGATGTTTAAATTTACATTATTTCCGTGTCTGAGAATAAATTGGAAAAGTAAAAAGATGAGAGACGCTGTGATAACGCGCGGATAACACGGTTAAACGTCTCTCCGTTTAATATTAGCGAATGGTAATTAAGGATGGGGGAGGGGGGAAGGTGTCGAGCGAAATATATTGTAAATTCAATTGCACGTAAGTTGACCAACTTCCTAGCGGAAACGTCCGCCAAAGCAGCCGGAAATTCATCCGGAGATAGGATTAAAGTGGTGACAGTAACACGACCCTGCCACGAATTATATTATAAACCGTGTCCCGTGAGAGCTCGCTGCCGGATAATGTAACCGCAAACTTTTTCTACCCCCTCACCGTCGTAACGAACGAACTACTGAAGCTTCTTTATATTTTCTGCCCTCCTAACGGCGAATCTCATCGTTAAACGCCATTACCGTTCATATTTTGCATCTACATAGACCCCTGAAGAACATTCTACAGATTGGATAATCTTTTTTATTTCAAACTAGGAGAGGCAATTGAATAAACCCTTTTTTCTACTGAAAAGCACATCTATTATCTAGAATTTGCCCAATTTTTATTAAAAAATATCGAAAGTTGTAAAAGATGATATAAGACAAGGTTCGTTTACCTGATTTCGTTCTATTTCCTTATTCATAAAAAACAAATCGAGATTCGAATTTAGAAAATGAGATAACTATAAATTGTGTAATGCATTTAAGTGTAAGTAATTATATCCCAAGATATGACATTAAGGATCTCAGAGGATCCTCGATCGAAAGGATCTCTGATCCTTACAACAACTCGTTTTACTAAAATTCATGTAACTCTGTCAATTGTCGAGATATCGACCCTAAAATTACCACGATACATTCCTCAAACTTCACGTTTCCTAACGACGTGATAATTCTAAAATCTCCAGGCAGATATAACGCTGCAATTGAAATGAATTTCCAACAAGTACGTTATTTTTCCACTGCAGGCGTTCGTGACGCGTTTGCTGAAGAAACGGCGGTACATCAGCCGCATGAAGATCCTGTCCACAACGGAGGGTCAGCCCCGAGGAGCAAGCTCGCAGATGTCGAACACAGTGGACGAGGCGGCGAGGGAGCGCTCGTCCGTGCGGAAGATACAATCTATGGACATTTCATGGTTGAAACGTAGGATCGTTGAAGCGATGAAGAGTATCGCGTCTCCTCCGCGCAAGAAAGAATCTTCCCCAGAAGGAAACACGTTTCTCGCGCGAATTTCTCGATTCCTCAGCAGAGATTCATCCTCTTCCAGTCGCCGTGAACGTTCCTCGAACGAGATCGAACAACTGTGCAGAAACAACGAGGAACGAACGAAACTGGAAACGAAAGAGAACATGATGAGGGAAAAGATTGACGATGAAAAAGGCGTCCTCGTTGTCAGACAGAAAGGAACCGACGGTTGGAGACGTATCTCGTTACTGTTCGTCGGAAATCGTGGTGCAAGTTCCTCTCCGACACGAAGAAAACCGAGCAACGGCGAATTCACGCGTGGACCGTCATGGAGGAATAGTGTACAGGTGGAGAAACTGTGCACCGGATCTAAAATCGTAAACCCTTGTAGAAGGGTGGACATGTATCAAACGGAGCCTCTGGTGGTGCCTGATACACCAGATACACCTGGAGATGCGTCAGAAACGAGGAGTCAAACGTCGTCTGATTTAACCGTGTTGCTCTCTGACAGTTAGTTTCGAAGGTGGGCGCTGTATTGTGTAGCCATTCTGTGGAAATCTCGATCTTATTTCCATGTTCTTTTAAATACGAGTCCTTTGCTATCGTCTTCTTTTGATGTTCATCTTTCTTTTCGTCACTTGCTGTATATAAGCTGATTTTCGTTATTGATTTAACGATCATTGTCGTATACAAGGTGTTTCAGAGCTACGAATTAATGCGAAATCTCATTAGGGTAATCTGTCGAGACGACTT